TTTAATAGTAAGGGACATTGGTTAGGATGCTTTGCAGAGGGATTTTTACGAACATTGGTCAGACTAATTTTGGAAAAGCTTGCTGCATCGAGTGTAATGTGGATGATGAGGGGCCACCCAAAAGAAAAGTTTTCTGAAAAAAATTTTTTTTGAGCTTCCTGGTAGTCTGCCATAGCATGAAAATAGATATCCTAATGCAGTTTGAGTCGAGTGTTAAGGTTCCAGCAAATGAGGACCTGCATTTTTCAAAGACAAAATTGGTTTTCTGGCCACGGTATTACTGTTCCTGAGAAACGAGTTTTTGGCTAGCTGACAATAGCGACTCGGTAGTTAACTGAAAGTGTCTACTTAAAGTAAATGACTTAATTTCGTCTTTTTCGTGGTTTGGCACCGATCAGTGGTTACGGTTGCTGAATCTATCTTTCGGGTAGATTCTTGCTTTTGAATGCTGGGTTTACTGTATTCTGGGGGTGAAGTTACGGATCATCATTGATCCAAGCAGTTGGTTTTTGATCTAAATTGATAGGTTTTTTAAGGTTACACGGTGATTTCAGTTGTTTTTATTTTTAACCTAGAAATTTGGGTTCTTGCACCTAAGACAGATCTCTAAGATCTGTATTGGAGTTGTCCTATTTATTATAGTGCTTTTTATTTTGAACAGGGATATTGAACTTGAGTTCTATTGCAAGATTTTGTGAGAAATGACATTTGATTTTGTAAATTTCTGTGGTCTTTAGTAGTTTTTTTTCCTCTACTACTTTACAACCTTGTTTTCCTCTATTTTATTTATATTAGCAGCTGTTACAGTATGTTTAATAATATCTTTTATTTCTCTTTAAGGTTACCCGATTTGTTGAAACAAAAGACGTTGAAGTTTCAACCGAGTCAGATGCTTCTATCAGGCTAGAAAGAATACCGCTTTTAAAGAGGCTAGGTCGGATAGCGGGAACAACTTTATTAGACGACCAGTCACTCAATATTCAGCAGATAGCGGCGGTGTGCGACTTAGCTGTAGATCCTCGTCAAAGTGGATTTTTTGAGGCAGTGCAGTCGTCTTCAGGGACTACTAAAGATCTTTATCAGCCATCATTGAATTGTACTCATCAGGTGTATAGTAAAGCAAAAAGTTATTATAATGTTTAATTTCACCTACAAACTTTCGGACTGTAGGCTTGATGGTAATTTCCATGAAACAAGTTTTGACTTGTTAAAATGTTATAAGTATTATTTGTTGTAACTGGAATAACTGGATCCACTGATCTACTTTATTTTAGTATTTCGTTTCCTCTTGATCATAAGTCTTCTTACATTCTCCAAAAAAAATTTTTTTGGGATTTACGTTACTGTGTAATCTAATACTCTTTTCTCAAATTAATTTTTTGTAGTTACAGAGGAATAATGTCGAATCAAAGCCTGGAGGTTTTACAGATGTAAGTACTGTAGATTATGTAAATCGTTTTAAGAAAGCCCTTGCTGAGTCGTCGAAGAAGCAGCAGCATGCATTAAACAAGTACAGTTTATGCTTTTTTTTTTCTTGTTCTTTTGTTTGTTTGTATTACAGTGGGTCCGGTACCCTTTACAGTGCCTCACTTGTGAAATGGGTTTTTACTTTAGTCTGCTTGTTTATTTTACATTTTCCGCAGTAGGAAGACAAGGTTGAGGTGTAGTTTTTTGGCAAATAGTTGACTAGTGAATGACTGACTTTGAGCCAGATTGTAATAGTCAATTTCACTCCAGTTAGATTGTCTTTTATATTTAGGAAACCATTTTTTAGTGAATAAGACTTGATCCCAGTAAGAAAAAAAGTTTAAGGATGAAAGTCGGAAAGTGTGACAGTTTTCAAATTTAGATATTTAGAAAATGTAAAGCTAAATGAAGTTTATGAAGCAAGTTTGCAGAGTCTGGCTAAGTTTGGTAAAAGCTTTTTCTTTTTTCGGTTCGTTAAAAAAATGAATCAGTTTTAGAGGGGCAGCACAAGAAACAGTTAGAAATGAGAAGGAAAATTTAATATACATTAGGTGAAAGTGGCTTGCACTTCCAAAAAGTCATTTTTATGGTCCAGTCGAAGCATGAGCGCCGCACGGCATTGTTTGATTTTCTAAACTGTATTTTGTAAGTTGAAAAAACGTGGATGAGTCTGTTAGTCTGGAAAAGGGGAATGGGTGTCATGAAATCCAGTATCATATGTATTTTACTTTTCTTCAACGCTGTCTGAATATTCGCTATCGGTTTTTTGTAAGTATGCGTTTTGATACCTTGTGGTAAGGGTTTTGATTTTTAGTATGCGTTCCTTTAATGATACTGCTGGTGAACAGTTGAAGCGAAGGATATTGGATGTTTTTCTTAGTATGGGTAGTTTTGCTCTTTGATAACTTAAAGCTTACAGTGATCGACTATGAACTGTAATTTTCCACTCGTCTGATAAATTTTTCAAAGTCTAGTTGATAGTTTTTATTGGTTTGGTGTGAATGTGTAAATTATTCAAAACCTTCATGCTTCTGTTCCTTCCAGCAAAAGTTTTGGAAATATTTAATTTGCTTCGTTATACTTATTTAACCTCCTTATGTTCCTCTAGTTTTCCATGTCATTAGTAGTAGTATGGAGAGCTTCTATTCCCACAGCGTTGAGAATGTAGTAGGTTTTGAGATTTGGGAAAATGGTCGTTGAGAGATCGGATAGCTGTTTGCAGTGTTATGCTTAATTTAACTACAGAGGCCAAAATAGTGTATTAGGAAAACATTCCTCTTTAATTTTTTCCTTGTTTCTTAATGTGTTATGCAATTTAGACTGCTGAGATGGGTTCATAACCAGCGGCTTGTAAATGTTCCAGAAATGGATGGTGCGAACAGCCGGTAAGTCAGGCTGCTTTTCGATTAAGCATTTCATCCTCTGGTTTGGATTTATTTTTGTGAAGGTCAGCGGAGGGAATGTGGCTGGTGCAAGAGTAGTAAAAACATAAAATTTATATCGATCTCAATAAATTAGCGCAATAAAAGCGATTCTATTTTTTGAATTATTTTCTCATACCAGTACACTCGAGTGTTTATATGCCTTTTTCTATATCGTGGGTTATTATCCTCACTGGGCTTTCCCACCTTCTATCACCAACGTTTGCATCGTAGTTTTAGTGATAATGCAGGAGAAGGATGGGTTGAAGAAGATGTAAAATACATAGGATTAGGCTTCTGTCAATGAAATAAAACTTATAACAGTCGGGAGTTGTTTGGAAAGTGAACGTTTCCAGAACCTCCTAATTTTGGCCCCATTGGCCAGTTTTTATGTAAAAGAGTGGTTGGGGCAGGTTTTGTTAATATCGCGGTATTTCCATTTGGTGTAATTAAAGCATTTGTCTTTATACTAGTTTTACTATTTCTCAGACCGTTCGTGTTACTTGCTTCTGTCTAAAGAATGCTCTCTCTTCCGATATGAGCAGGAATGTGTGCCGAAAAATTTTCACATTTTCCCACTTCCTATAGTTTCATGTACGTGGTTCACCTTCAATCTTGGTACCGGATTAAACGAAGAAGCATTCCTATAAAAGAAATAGCTACGTAGATGTCACAGTTGCATCTACAGCAGAAGTAGGAAGAGCCCGCTTTTAGTGGTTGGTTGTTAAAATCACCGGCAAACTATTTTTTGGGCCATAATATGCTAGGAGGAAATTGTATTCGAAGTATATACAGCCTGCACAGGTTGTTTATAAGCGGCAGTTGTCTAAAACTAAGTTACATGGCTTAAGCCTGGCGCATCACGTGCTGTGTCGTCACTGTTATGAAAAGCACACCATAAAATAGTGTAGAAACCTACAAAAGTTAGTCTCATGGTCATTGGATGAGCTACTATCATTAAAGGTACGAGAGTTTTGAAGCACCTTCGTTGCATAAAATTACCAGTTACTGCGAAGGAAAAATGCTCTGCAGTCTGCACATTAGTATATAGATTTATTTATTATACAGCTTTGAGGTTTCTGAATAAGTCACATTAGAATATATTGAGCAGCCCGTTTGAAATATCATGATTTAGTGTAGAAGATTCAATCTTGGATTATACTGAGACTTAAATGAGTCCCAGTTTTTCTGGATAAGTTAAATAGTTCATCAAAAATACTAATTTGTCTTTTCTAATGTTTACTAAGAATTCCATCTCGAAGAGCTGATTGGCAAGATCGTTGCTCATCCACGAAAAATCTTCCCTCAACTCGTACAGTGCCAGCTAACTCAGTCTCAGCGCTGTGTTCTATGTTCACAACGACGCGCCCAACACTTATGGTTTTAAGCTCAGCACCAGTTCCTGAACATCCAGTCTAGGAAAAAAACTCTGAGCTATTAAGAAGGCTGATCATCTAAATAATTATAAGAAAAAGTATACTCCCAGCTAATGACTATTTTTGAACGGTAACTAACAGCAAAGCTCTCTCACGTAATCTGTATTTCTTATGGATCTGCCGTTCTTTTGGGTTCCACGAATTTTTTTTGTCTCATTTGTAATCTATGCCACACACACCTTACCTATTTCCGAAGAGTTTTGTGTTTATCTACTGTACCACCGCAAAGTCAGAAATTCTTTATCTACTATCTGCTCTACTACTGTCTGTGGGAACTTCTTCTGAATGGCAGATTGGTATACTTCCTCCCCATCTCCGCATAATTTGTTGGTCGCCTGAAACCACTTTCATTTTACGTTTTGTCTATAAACGGTAAGTAACTGATTTTGCCAATATATTTCACTTGGGCCACTCAACAGTAACAAACACCGGCAATGGACAACAATCTGAGAATTACAACTAAAACTTCATAAGGCGATAAAGCACCGTCATGAGTTAAGAAAAAAATGGCTCATTTTATTTTTGAACAATGTCGGTTTAAAAAAAAAAGTCACAAATAATTTTTCCTTGTTTCTTAACACAGTTTCTAAACAGCTTCCTAGGAACTAAACAAAATGCACGCATAAACAAAATATTTAGTCGAGTTCAACGGAAATGAATATCATTAATGTGATTTTTTAAAGGAAATAATAATAAACAAAGAAAAAACATAAAATATAACCCGCATAAAAGACGTATCACTGGGAAAGGACCAACCACCATTAGTCTGTACCCAGCTCTGGAGGTGGATTATATACCGTTTTCACTTTGTGACACACCTCTTCATGTTCTTTATCACATATCAGCAATAGCGCGGCTCCGAATGTAAAGAGTGTTGCTCCCCAAGCAACTCCATAAGACCAATCAAACTCCCACTCTCCAGAACCAAAATCCTTCATCTCTCCGTAGAAACACGCAGGAAACAGAATCAACGATATGAGATCCAACAGGACTGCAATACCAAAGTATAATCTCAGAAAACAGTAAATAAATAATTACGTGCTATAGCAATATTCGAACAAAGAAATAGTGAAAGAGAATTCTAAATGAGGCAAAAACGATTCTATTCAAAATGTTTTCAAACTTTTAAGAAATGTGAAACAGAAAAATGCAAAAAAGACCTGAAAATAATGCTAAATAAGTGGCAATTTTGTAAAATTTATATTTGCGATGAATGACTCGCACGCATAGACCCAGCCCATTCATTATTAACGCGAAAAATGATAGTACTGCAGAAATTGTTAGAAGAACAGCTACAGCCGTGATGTATGCTAAAAAAAAGTGATATCAAACAAATAACATGAAAAGTTATGATTAGAGATGAAGAAAAGGAGGCATATGATCATCTTAATTTCAACAAAAATGATATAGTAGATTTTTCAAACAGCGAATCATTACCTACTGAATATGACAGCAACAAAATGGGTTAAAAATCAGATAGAGATTCTTTCAGAAAATAGATTTTTTAATATCTACAATTTCTTGTGTTAGCTCTACCACTGACCACAACAACAAAGCGATTTAAATTATGAAACTTTGCCTATGGAGCATAAACCTCGTGCAGAAAGAGCAATTTCTGTCAAAATAACAGATAAAACTATTACGGCGGGTTATGATCAGCTGGGCACTTTAAAGTTTTGAACTGTTATTTACTCCGACTGCCTCAAGTTTGAGCTAACAGGCTAGATTCCGTAGTTACACCACAGACCTCAACTTAAACTGCTTTAGAGAGCCTATAGAAGTATTCTATCAAAGCAGTATTTGTGACCACTGCTTAGAACAAATGAATAATCATGGATTTCAAAAAGAAATTATCATAAGCAACAGCCTGCATCTTAGATACTGGAAATTTTTGATGCATAACTACTCATTTCTTTCCTAATGATCCAGCATAATGTCGCCCTAAAATCTTTTAAAAAAATATTAAGAGAATTTTTCTGACACCCAATATTACTCAAAAAAAAAGCTCCTATTCGTATATTTATCTGTTGTCAAGGTATACAAATAATCATCATTAACTGTCAAATCATAACTTTCACTATCATTTCAAATATCTGCACACTTATGCAGAAAAAAAATTTTTTTTCTTAGTTCCAACCCCAGCTAAACGGCTTCCTGCCCCCTGAAAATCTACTGGTGGTTCTTCAGTAAAATTCAGCTACAAGTCACCAATGCTTACTGACAGACACCGATCCGTCAACTCCTATAAACCTTACTTTGAACCAAAAGTTCTATGAAGCGTACTTTTTTACATTTCAGCTCAAAGTTCATTCGGTCCAATAACTTTTTGCTTTGAAATATTACACCATAAAATTTTTTGAGAGGAAAAAAATTTATTGTTAGCCAATTATCTGGAAGCAAATTTTCGCTTTGTTGTTATATCCAAACTAAAAATACTTTGGTCAATTCATATATGTTGTAAAAAATGAGTTAAATGCAAAAAATTTAAATGCATTAGCTGGCCATAAAAGGTTAAGAATGAAATTTTATTAGATGTACATAAAGATCAAAGAATGACAGACCACCTCCACGATCGGCCTAACCACATCTGTACTACAAGTGCGATAAGTTATACCACAACCCAGCTGACTTACATTTACCTGAATGTTTATGTAGTTTTTGACATCGACCAGGCGGAGGAGCTCCGGGTACATTTTGGTTTATCTGATTTGAAGTTGTACATTCACGAAACAATCCAAATTTGTAATTTCCAGACCTCAGCCAAGAGTTGGTTGTAATACAGGTTATTAATAGAACAACTGCGATCAAAAGGCACAAAAACGATATGACCTGGAAAGAAAAAAAAAAAAAACGTTTTAAAGTGCTTTTTTTTCTCTTTAACTCTTAATATCCATTACTGAATAAACGACCTTCTACCAGTAATGCTTCTTTATCAATATCAGTCGCTTTTGAAGGTAACTGGCTCGATTACTCAGCAATATTTGAAGTTTATTCCTCCGATAAATTATCCTTTCAAATTTCAAAATCTATTTCAAATGCTATTTTTGTACAGACATATCTCAATTTACAATTATAACTGCTAATCCTTTCTGATAATTAACATAATTTTTATAATCAACAAATAATGAACAAGATGTAATTTAAAAAGAACAAATAAAGGCAATAAAAATAACAAATTTTTTATTGTAAATAAAAACAAAAGTATTGAATGCTGTTTGTATACATACCTTAAGAGGTCGTACCACCGAAACAGTTTCAATTGTGGTCGTCTGGGTGGCCATTGAAAGCCCCTAAAAAGTGGAAGTACACAGTTAAACCGTTTTATTCAACGATTCTAGACCTATGCAGTTTTCATCGCAAAACAATATAGTTTTTTTGCTCGGGTTTACCGCACGACATAAACGAAATCTTCAAATTGATGAACACAGACGTGCCATCATAGAATAAATAAGAAAAAAAACATCCCAAGTTACTTGAAGCAAAAAAATTGATTTTTTTTTTAAACTTTTTACTTTTTCAAAAATCTATTTGCACACATACGAAAAAACTCCTCATAAAACATCATTAATCTCCATTAAATATCAATG